TCTCCCTTTCCTTGTTCTCTCTCTTTTTCAGCACCATAGTATACCACAGAAAACATTTGTAAAACACCTGACTTTGCTCTACGCCATCATTTATACCTTCGGAATTCATCTGGGATCATTATCCAGAAGTACAAATGAGTACGTTCAAGTTAACTTCTTCGAGTTTTCAAGTTTTCAACATTGGATGCTGACCATATGTTTTAGTGGACTCATCTAGCTGAAGGCGCTCGGTCATGCATCCCCCACCAGATCACGTGTGGTGACGCTGTGCTCAACATCTACCGCAATCGCTAGTCAGATTAGATCAGAGAATTCCGGTATATTGGTTATCGCCAAATACACTCTTCCGATCTCCTCGACTCTGTCTTTTGATTTCTCTTGGTGGGTACGAATTATATTAGAAGGTGTTGCTGGTAAAAGCCAGGTTGAACGAAAACATCGGTTGATTGTGGTCGAGTGGAAGCAGATTTAACTGAACGTATTGCGTTTGTAAGCCTGTTCGTGTAGGAGGTTAGATCCTTGTTTATCGAAGATGAAGGATCCATGAATTCTCCTGGATGTCGAAGTGTCGTTTCATAAATGAGTTGAGCCTCAGTGTATCCAATGTCAGCTTTCGCTGCATTGCGAATACCTAGTAAGACGAGTGGAAGAGCGTCGGTCCACTGTAAAACGTTTGCAGCTGATAGTGAAGCTTTTAGTTGTCGGTGAAAGCGTTCAACCAACCCGTTTGCTTGTGGGTGGTAGGCGGTCGTTCGGAAGCGAGTGATTCCTAAAAGTGTGGTCAGACGACGGAAAAGTTCAGAGTCAAACTGACATCCGCGGTCTGTAGTGATGGTTGAAGGGCAGCCGAAGTTTGCTACCCATCGTTCGACGAAGGTGCGGGCCACTGTTTCAGCAGTGATGTCCTTGATAGGTATTGCTTCTGGCCATCAAGTGAAACGGTCTACTCAGGTTAAGAGTTAAGCGTATCCATTTGAATCTGGTAAAGGTCCTACCAAGTCCAGATGAACATGGTCGAAACAGGCATCGGGATTTCTGAATGAGTCTAAAATACATTTGTTGTGTCTAATCACCTTAGATTTCTGGTAGCTTACATAGGAGCGTGCCCACTCCTTAACGTCTTTATTCATGCCAGGCCAGCAAAACCGTCCTGCTGTAAGCTTGATGGTTGTACGAACGCCTGGATGAGAAAGTTTGTGCAATGTATTGAAGACATTTAGTCGACAATGTTTCGGCACGATTGGGCGACCCCCACCCGTAGATGTGTCACAAAGTAAGGTTTCCTTACCTTTTCTCATATGTTTGATGCGTAGTTTAAGGGTTGTAGACGATAACTTGTGCTGAAGATCAGTGTCTTCTTTTTGAAGCTGAGCGAGTTTAAGAAAGTCGATTCCTTGGAAACTGTTCAAGGAAGTTATGCGAGACAAGGCGTTTGCAACCACATTGTTTGCTCCAGAAATATGTTGAATGTCTGAAGTAAACTGCGAAATGTAGTCCATTTGTCGAGATTCACGAGGTGAGTACTTGTCTGAAGAGGAGCTTAAGGAGAAAGTGAGAGGTTTATGGTCAGTAAAAAGGGTGAATTCACGGCCTTCAATGTAGTGTTGAAAATGCCGTACAGCACAATACATAGCTAGGAGTTCCCCACCGAATATGCTGTACCTCGAGTCGGTGTCTAGCAACCGTCTAGAGAAAGATGCCAAAGGTTGCCAGGAGTTGTTAACCCATTGTTGTAAGACTCCTCCGATTGCTGAGTCGGATGCGTCTACTGCGATACTAATGGGTGCTCGGGTGTCCTGATGTGCAAGACTAAAGGCATCATTGTCGACGGATGTGAGGAAACAAGCTGTAATTTTATCCTTGACACATTTTCTCGCCGTACGCGAAGTTTTACATCGACCCGTATGGTGTTCAATAACCACCACTTACGTTTACATTTCGTAGTTCAACAAAAGTATTTTGCCCTATATGACCAAAAACTTCAGACTGGTTGCAGAGAACAATGTATATTGTTCAGTTATTGATTTTTAAAAGAAATTCGTCATTCGTTTGTATAAGTAATCGGTCAAACTTTTGTTCCTCATGTTGATTAATATTCTTAGTAGGAACTCACTTATAAATCAGAAGCCATTCTGAATTATCAGGTTTTCCTAAACGATCACTGAATAAGAGAAATAGTTAATCTTAATATTTTGTCACAATACTTTAATAATAAACATTTCATTTGATAAAATGGTTATTGTCTGTAGTTATTCGAACGCCAAATGAAATGCTCCTCGAATTACGGTCAGTTGATTTACTAGCCATATGTATAAACCTGAATTTTAGACTTCCGTTCGTTCTAAAAATTAGCAAAAATAGCATTGTTCATTCTGCGAACACCATTCATGTACACGATTTAGTCACATAAATTGTCAGTCATTTTCTCAACATCTCACAGGCAATGACTGTGTTCAATGAGACCGAGTACCGGCTTCCTAAATGCTTGTTGTTGATAGCACAATCTCAACTACTAAAGTCACTGTTTGACCCCTTTATATGTAGATTAATACCTCTCATAAATAAGTATTATTTAGACACAGGAGGGACCAAGCATTTGTCACCAATTTACCATTCTAAACAGTAAAGCGTCCTTGTTTTCAGACAGCAATATTATGAACTATTTTATTGTTTTTGTCTGTATGAATAACAGAATTGTTAGGTGCTCTATTGAGCTTTTCTTTAAGTGCTGCCAAGCTGTAAATGTTGTCACTTTTTATTGGCTACTGTTTGTCAAAAAGCGTTATCAAATTGAGATCAAATGAATCAATAATTTGTTAGGTTTTGATGCATATATACATCTTTAAGACTATTGTTTTTTTGCTATCTAATACTATAATACCATGAAAGTATTTTGCTTAAAGAGGGGAAGCTCACCTTTTAAATCGAGGAGTTTTGTTATTACAATTACTGGTTTAATTATCACTGTATTTATCTATTTGTTATCCATTACAGTGCTAACAAAAGATATAAAAAATACTCAAAATCTTCAGAAAGTAACCAAAGTTAGTTTATTTACTTTTTATTTCGACGTCTTTTTAAACGTAAATTTTTTCTCATTCGGACTATAATTTCGGTAGTTTTGATGGTTTAATAGACAACATTCAACTGGAACAGTAATATGTGCTTTTGGAATTTCTAGATGAAATGTAGCTGTATTCAGTCACATTATGGTTAATGAATCGGTAGGCAGGAAACCGTGAACCTATTATAAACATATAACCATGTTTATAATTCAAGTGAAAGAATTTATGTGGTAAAGTTCTTTAAATAGTAGGAATTTGATTCTGGTGAGTTACTTTCCTATAAGCTAGGTGGAGATTGAAAAATTGATATTAGAACGTAAAATAGTAAAGGTCAATAATTACTTAATAGCTCATGTGTTCTTCAAGATGAGATGAGGTAAGAAGTGAGTTAATGATGTTCAGACTTGTTAAACCAAATACCTCGATAACTATGTGTTTCAGCTTCTGAAGTAGTTTATGGATTTCTGATCACCTTTCCGAACATATAAACAATAATACTTTACTAAATACTGGTTTGCTTCTGTTTTTAGAACTACTTTCATGTTAATGAATATACAGATGAAGTTTTTGCAATTGAACCACCTATCTCAGAAAACACAGCACGGCCAAATATAGTTAGAAATAAATATTTAGTAAATCATCGTCACTGTACCCAACATTACTGCAGAATAGGTGATACCACTCTCTAGATAATAAATATGTCATGCTGTACAACCGTCAGCCAGCTTGGATCAGACGCTTCACAAGATATCGATGGGCTTTCAAATATAACTTCAAACCTCCTCAATTTTGACTGTGTTGACATACTTCGATTATAAAGCTGTTACTGGTAAAGACGTTGTCACTCTTAATATCCGTGGCATTTTGAAGGGTTCATATATTATCTTTTAGGAACCGTTTATTTATTCGTTTATCGTCAAGTGCTTTCTCGGATCTATGTATTTTGTTGTATCATGTAGAGAAGTTCACGGCAATCATATTTATTGAGATATGTAATAAACTGTGGTGACCAAACAATATATAAACGCAAAAGTATCAACAAAGTTAATAACAATCAATAGTAATATTAATATTTACAAGTTAAATGTTACAAATACAATAACAAATTAGGGACGTTACTTAAATCGGCTAGTCGTTGCGTGTTCTGTTGAGTTTTGGTCTCAAAAATCCACAATTATAAATGCGTAATAATTCCACAGAGGTAAATATGACGCCAATAAGTTTCTTTGACGTAGGATATAATGGGAATGACACTGCAGTCTGAAATGAGGATAATATCCAGTTTAGAACGCAATTGACTTGGTAACGAGCGACAATAGAACAATGGGTATGTGCGTAGTAGTGTATTTGTGAACAACCGAAAATGTGTGTCACGCTATGTTCGAATTACAACGGAAAAAGTGTTCAAGGTCGTTGACTAAAACAACACGTACAGTCATTTAATGATAAATGTACATACAGTGAAAAATTGGACAAAACAAATAGAAATAACATTGAAAACTATTTACAAAATAAGGTTGTCAGGTCTATCTCCACATAGCTCCCCCCAGAGTGTCCGGAGGTAACACTGGTTACAATAACAATAATAAAAATTTTATACAAAAAAAATATTTACAATAATAACCAATTAACAATGTGGAGATGCGTATGACATGTACGTTAATAATATACAGTGTGTTATGCGTGAAAATAGCGGTGATGTGGCATAGCATGACAAACAAAAGTAATGAGAATATCGTCATTTAAAATCTTGGTTTGCTAACAATGATACTAATGTACAGAACTGTTACTGAACCCAAAAAAAATGAACTGCTTATTTTTTTTTTGTGTGTGTACAACAAATGAATAATTAAATAGAGTTTACTCGTTTATTATTGTAACAAATTTTTTATATATATAATATATATATATATATATATATATATATAAATGTGACAAAACGAATAATTGTGGAAAAAAATGTGATTAAGTACACTGTGTGAAGGAAAACGAAAAAAATTTTTTTTAATCGACGAAATGAACATAACGCTTGGGTTTGTTTATAGGTCTGCCGGAGCGTGTTAAACAAGAAGGCTTAGCATTAAGTTTTTTATCCTCCACTGGTTTTTCAGTCACTGGTGAAAGGGGTTGATTGTCAACAGCGTTGTCTTTTTTGACTTGAGTAGATTCATAGAAAGCAGGTTTGATTCTGTCTATAGAAATAGTCTGCTTTTTGCCATCTCTGCTGATGATGAAGTATTTTTGTGTGCGTTTAATTACTTTATATGGACCCTCGTATGGTTGTTTCAATGGTTTTTTGACAGCATCTACTCGAACAAAGACAAACTTGCATGTTTCTAGATTTCTGTCGAGTTGTATTCGATTGTTATGTTCACGAGGCGGTATGGCTTTGATCTGTTGCATGGTCTGCAGCAGTTGGCTAGCAAAACGACTTGGGTCCGTTGGTGTTAAAGTGTTTGGGTCCACTAGTTGACCTGGTAATGTAAGGGTTGTACCATAAACTAGCTCAGCGGCTGTACAACCTATATCTTCTTTTATAGTTGAACGGATACCCAGGAGTACAAGTGGTAATGCGTCACTCCATTTTGTCGTATCATTTTGTGCCATCAGCGAGCTTTTCAATTGGCGGTGAAATCCTTCGACCAAGCCGTTAGCTGCTGGGTGGTAGGTTGTTGTTTTGATGTGGTTTACACCCAGAAGTCTTGTGAATTCCTGAAATAAAATAGACTGAAACTGGGGACCACGGTCGGTAGTGACGATGTAAGGTACTCCGTAGTTAGATATCCAGCGGCCGAGGAAGACTGAGGCGACCGTTTCTGCTGAAGTGTCTTTTATAGGGCAGGCTATGGCCCATCTTGTGAACCTGTCCACCGCAGTGAGAATGTGGGTAAAGGAGTTCGACGGAGGCAGTGGCCCAACTAAATCCAAATGAATATGTTGAAAACGTTTGTCGGGAATGGGGAATTCCCCGATCGGGCTGATAGTGTGTTTTTGGATTTGTCTGCGTTAGCACTGGAGGCAGTTACGTGTCCAACGTTTAACATCCGAATTGATTTTTGGCCAAACAAAGCGTTCTGTGATAAGCTTCGTGGTAGCCCTGATGCCTGGATGCGACAGTCCATGTAGCTGTTGAAATATTTTTCGTCGATAGGGTTGTGGCACAAAGGGGCGATTGTTACCCGTTGAAGTGTCGCAAATAATAGATGCATCTGAGAAAGGAATGGGTACAGGTTTAAGATTCAAGTTAGACTTCTCGTTGCAGATCTTCAAATCTACATCGTCCACTTGTAGTTCAGCTAAAGCTTCGAGACTGATGTTGTGGTTGTGTACCATCATGTTGATATCCTTTCTAGATAAAGCGTCAGCGACAATGTTGGAGGAGCCTTTGATGAACTGGATGTCCGTAGTGAATTGAGAAATGTAATCCAGTTGTCTGGCTTCCCGTGGAGAGTGTCTATCGTAGGACGTGTTGAAAGAATAGCAAAGTGGTTTATGATCAGTCATAATGGTGAAATCACGTCCCTGAAGCAGGAAGTTGAAGTGATTTACAGCTAAGTACATAGCCAGAAGTTCGCGTCCGAAGGTGCTATAGCGCTCTTGAGTTGGTGATAATCGTTTGGAAAAGAAAGCTATAGGAGTAATCTTGTCGTTAACGCATTGCTGTAATACTGCTCCTACTGCTTTTTGGGAGGCGTCAGTGCAGAGGATGAGGTTTGTTGTGGGATCGGTGTTTAGGTGCTGTAGCATGGTAGCATTAGATATCATCAACTTTGCTTTCTCGAATGCTGTTTTGGCGTCAGGGGGTAGGTTGAATGTCTGACTCTTCTCTTTCTTCGTACCTTTTTTGTCGGTTTTCAACAGATCGGTTAATGGCTGTAATACTTCAGCACAATGTGGTAAGAAGCGGCGATAAAAATTACACATACCGAGGAAACGTCGTAATGACTTCACCGAGGTTGGTTCGGGATAATTGGTAATAGCTTCAACCTTTTCTGGGAGTGGTTTGATGCCTTGAGAGTCAATGTAATGTCCTAAAAACTCTAAGGCTGGGACGGCGAATATACATTTAGAAGGATTGATAACCACGCCATGTTTCTTAAAACGTTCAAAGAGGATCTGAACATGCTGGGCGTGTTCTTCTATTGATGAGCTTGCGATCAAAACGTCGTCTATGTAGGCGAATACGAAGTCTAAACCTCTTGTGACATCATCCATGAATCGTTGGAATGTCTGGGCGGCATTTTTCAATCCGAATGGCATTCTTAGAAACTCAAATAGGCCAAAGGGTGTGATGATAGCTGTTTTCTCGATATCTTCTGGTGCCATCGGAATTTGGTGATATGCTCGCACCAGGTCGAGCCTCGAAAAAATGCATTTACCGTGTAGGTTTAATGAAAAATCATGTATATGCGGAATTGGGTACTTGTCGGGAATGGTTTGATTGTTTAATCGTCGATAGTCACCACACGGACGCCAATCTTGGTCCTTCTTTGGTACCATGTGTAACGGTGAGGCCCATGGGCTGTTGGATGGTCTGATAATACCAAGTTGCATCATATGTTCGAATTCTCTTTTAGCTACTTGCAACTTGCTTGGCGGTAGTCTCCTCGCCCTGGCGCTAATAGGTGGTCCGGTGGTAGTGATATGGTGTTGCACCAGCTGTGGGTTACCTTCCTTTTGGTAATCTGATTTCGTAATGCACTGGTATTCTGTTAGAATGTCGTTGAAGATGTTTTTCACAGGTTTCATTATTCGAACACCATGGATCTCGTTGTCGTTGGAGAGTGTACCATTTACCTATAAACGTGTGTTTACGTCGATTAATCTCTTGTTGGTCATATAAACTAACAGGTTGTACGCACTAAGAAAATCGGCCCCGAGGATGGGTCGTTTGACTTGAGCAACTATGAATACCCATGTGAATCTTCTGCGGAGCCCGAGATCTAATATAAGAGATTGTTCTCCATAAGTTTTGATAACTGATTCGTTAGCCGCTACCAAGGACAATTTAGTGCTTGTCGTATGTTGTCTGCGTGAGAGATGGAGTGGGATGATGCTGATTTCTGCTCCCGTATCGACTAAAAAGTCTGAGCCAGAAATACGATCCCTGATGTGGAAGAGGCGGCTGACATGTTGGCCAGTAACAGCTGCCGCTATTACTGTCTGGCCACTTCGTTTCCATGATGGTCTGGCTTGCTTGTCGTGAAGTTGCACGGTTTTGTGCAACGACGTGCTTTCTCACCATAATTCGAATGATACCAACAAATTCCGGCTGCCCGCTTAGGTGACCTAAGACGATGTCTGGATAATGATCTCCTTCTGGACGTAGACCTGGGGCGTCGAGAATGGATGGTGGAAATAGTCGCCTGCAGTGATGCTAGCTGCCGTGTTAAGTGTGCCATTTGTTGCTGAATGTCAAGAGTAGGGTTCATAGCGTCTCTACTAGCGGGTTGTACTGCGTAAATTCCCCGGCTATCGGGATACATTTCTATCATCTTATCGGCCATGTCTGCTAAATCATCAAGACTGACAGAGGCTCCTGATACGCTGAGAATTTGTCTGACGCTATAAGGTAACCTTTGCGACCACATCTGCTTAAGTAATGCTTCGTCTAACTTGTATGAGCCTACTAGTTGTCTCATATGTCTAAGCAACTGTGAAGGTCTTTTGTCCCCTAACTCGCATGCGGTGAGAAGTTGCTGAAAGCGTTTTTCATCAGACTGCGAAGTACGGTGGATTACTGCGGCTTTTATTTTGTCATAGGGTCCGTTTCTGGTACGTTATCTATCAGGTCTCCGACTTCTGCTGCCACTTCTATGGGTAATGCTCCAACGATGTATGCATATTTTGTCGCTTGAGAGCGTATACCTCTCGACAAAAATAATGCCTCAACCTGTGCAAACCAGATCCTGGGATTATTAACACCGTACGTTGGTAATCTTAGTTCCGAAATAGCGTTGATTGAGTTTAAAACATTATCCTCTGGTTGTGGAGAGTTTAGAAGGTTGGTCGGTGAACTATCAATATCAATAAGTTTACCCGGAGAGTTCATAATGACAAAAACAAAAAAATGGTGTCGTGCCGATTAATAATAATAATAAATTATGTAGATATATATAGTAAATGTCTATAAAAAAATAATCGAGGCTCACCAAAAAACCATGCGATTTCATTGCAAATACAGATAAAAGATATGTCTACCCAGTAAAATTTTCGGGGATTTCTCAATGGACGTCACAACATTTCAGCAAAATTTGTGGAAGTCCAAGGGATTCCAATATGAATATTACGATATTCCTACATTTTCAGCGGTGTGCATTTTTAGGGTCGACCTTTTCTAACCCCACCCCTCCTAGTGGGAAGGCAGCATCGCTGTCATGCTGGTTGTCCGAGGGAAACACCTTACTGCTGTCACACCTCTCTACAGTCAGCAGTACGACTTCGCCTTCGGTTTGTTGCTTTTAGTCTTACCGCTCTTCAACCGACCTGTCTGACATGGTAGGACCTTGAGGAACGGTTGTTCCAGCCAGTATAGCTCGGTTGCTTCCTCACGATAGGCAAGCCCGACCACCACGTCAAGGTAGCAACAACGGTCGGGAGCGGGAAAATTAGCATTCTTCAGTTAATTAAATTGAATTTCCTAAATGTTTATGTATCTTGTATGAAGTATTGAGAAAATCTCGAAAGTTCCACATCATTTTGTGAATCTCGTGAAAATTAGACAAGCATTTTGGGGAAAAATCAGATGAGTTGAAATTTTGGGGTTTTCGACATTATTTTCACGGAAATGTTTAATGAAATTGAGCAACGCCTGTGTAATGACCGGAAAGCCTGGTGGTCGGAGCGTGCTAATGAGCTGGAAGCAGCAGCTGCATCTGGTAACTACCGACAGCTCTTCCGACTCATCCGAGCCACTGACAGTAAGAAGTTTTGTGTGAGCAAAATAACCTGTGAGGATGACGGGATGCCAATCACTAACATCCATCGACGTCTTGGACGATGGGCGTGAGTGATGAGATCAGTTCATGTATAATGAAAGCCAGAGAAGCTTATACCAATCTGGGCCACCTTTGACGCCTTCGTGATGTCAGTCTGGTTGTTAAAGGTCGGATCTACAACGCGTTGGTGAGAGCAGTTCTGCTCTATGCTTGTGAAACCTGGCCTCTCCGAGTTGATGATGTTAGACGACTCTGTGTCCGAACATCGTTGTCTCTGAAGGATTACTGACATCCAATGGCAATACCATGTTAGTCATGCAGAGGTCCGGCAACGTGTGTTCGGGCACAGAGACGATAATGCAATTGATGTCATCATCTTGAAACATCAACTTCGGTGGCTTGGATACGTTCTACGAATGTCGTCCCAGAGAATTCCACGTCGTGCATTATTTGCCGACGCTGGGACTGGTTGGAAAAAGCGGAGAGGTGGTCAGTGTATGACATGGTGTCGTGGTATGAAAGAAAGCTGCAAAGGGCTGGCTTCTGTCGGACCTCCAGGACTCCCTGGCTGGGGTCCGAGAGATGGTGCAACACAGTGGCTAGAGACGCTATAAGATATGGCTCAGAATAGAAGCTAATGACGATCCTGCCGTAACCTTCTTTTACTTTCTTCATAAAAGTGGTTGTGACTTCCTTAACTGAAGGAATTCCATCTGGTTGTACCTTTGTGTTTCCCCAATTTTTATTACACTACTATACATTAATCTGTGGTCGTTAGTGCCCTTCTTTCTTTTTCTTATGCGCACCTTACCATCTTTTTCTCTTCCCATTCTCATAATTTTATGTGGCGCATATATATCTGGTGCCCCCTTGGACCAATATTTATGTGTCCAAATAAATAAAGGATCAAGAATAGTATATTGTAGTAGAAACCTCTACAAATCTAGGATTTGCCCTGACAATTTAGTCTCGCTGTACTAATGGGGTATGACAACTTGAACCAATCTGCAAATGTGTTAGATGCTACGTTGCTCTTGACTGACTGAGTAGATAAAGTTCAGTTAACAACAAGATTGAGGAACTATGTTTCATTTAGGGGACCTCACCTCAGTCTTATGAAAAGTGTAAAAGAAAACTACCACAGGATCTCTATTGACTTCTTTGAACCATATTGGACAGCATCTCAAGCCACTGACTGAGCAGTACCGCCCCTATTTTCTACCAAAACCAGAGTCACAGAGAGCAAAATTAAGTAACTAACAAGGCTTTGAATAAATGAGTCTTTCACCTCATTTGTCGCCTTATTTTTCCTCATATCAAACAACTAAACGTACTACGTTTATGCCGTTTTCAGAATAAATGTGCCGATTTTTAGTAATGAATTAAGTACACTGTAATGCAAATAAACACAAGTAAATTTCTCAGTATATTATAGTGTAAGTACACTGTTGTTGTCACTGGACATAACAACTAGCTTTGTCACTCTTGCTGCAATTAATTGGTTACCAACTATAGCACAAACTTTTGGAACTTAAATGGAAATTTATCCAGAATACAGGTCACAATTTAATGGTAAGACATCAGAGTGAATAACCACAGGAAGTATGTGAATACAAGCTCACTGAAAAACGTGAGTTTTTTTAGTCAGTGATGTAGGAGTTTGACAGTAAGGCATAATAGTATCGTAATGTCAGGAAATTTGCAATACAAGATAAGTGTCTAACGGAGTAAGCTAATTCTTACGAAGAATGGTTGCAGACAGATGCAGTTGGCAAACTTCCAATGGTAAATTACGAGAAGTAAAAGACATCCCACTTAACAATCGTACACCATCGTTAGTTTATGCGCCAGAGTCAATGGTACAAAGTACGAGGGTTGAAAACCAAAAGCCGTCACTTAGCTACTGCTTCAGTAACCTAGACAGATTTGGATAACTTTGTAAGTCTAGTGATTCCAGACATATTGACCCCATGTCTCACACCAGCAAAATGAAAATTCTGTAATTACGAACTGATAGTCTATATATGTTATCATTTATTCTCGCCGCATTACTTTGTTTGGTTAAGACTAAAGGTTTTAAAGTTACTGACAGTTAAAAATATAACTCAACAAAGAGGAAAGCGATTACGAAACTTTCCATTTGCAAACTACAAACAGACATGAAGATGGACATCAGCAACTACACAAGGCCTTAAAAAAAAGAAACTCACGTTTTGAATTATACGTAATGACAGCAAATTACTGAACAGATGAATACCTAGCACATGAAAGTTTGTCAGGCATATGGATAGAAGTAGAGTAATAAGCGGGCTCCGTTGTTTTAGTAAACCAATAGTATAGGGGGTAGGAAGAATATGAGAACACAACGTACGGTAGTTGGGATACCGCTAACGCAAGTCAGCGCTAGCCTATCCTTTGGTGGCAACAGTAGTCGACTCATATTTAAAGGGGAAAGTCTGATGAGCAAACTATCAAGAGCCCGTGTTTTTCTTTTCTATACTGCATTCCAGTTTTTATTTCAGATTAAAGAAATCACGACTACGAACTTCAAGGGGTTTAGATTTTAGTGGTTGAAAATATGGAATGACTCGATACTGGATTAGAAGTAAAACCGAAAACACTAGGCAGATGAACAATGCTGAAATAAGGACTCCTATAAGACTAATACAAAGTTAGGTAATAACTTCCGTTACAATTTATCAACTCAAATATAGATTACGGCAGTCTAACTCTACATAGAAATGAAAATAACTCGTAGGAAATATACTTGAGAAGAGAAGCGCAGAACCATATATGCCAATAATGACACGGCATTATAGTCACAATCTGAAGACTCGTTGCATAACAACTCTTCAGAATACAGATCATATTCACTCATACTTTCTGTGGGATTCGATTGACAACTACACTGGCAACATCGACATGCTCACATGATAACTTGCACCAGAACTTTATACATCCAGTGAGGAATCCCTGGAACTAATTAGCTGTAGACGTGCCTACTGATATTATTTCTGGCGTTTCAGACTTTTTATTTCAGTATGCTATTCATAGGAAGTAAAAAAATGGAGGCCGTAAAGTCAAAATGCAGGGATTTGAAAGGCTATGAATAATCTAAATCTAAGGAAAGTAGGCTCGAATGGACCAGCCCTTAAGATCTTTAAGAATGGAGCTCAAGTGTAGGAATTTAAATTAACGGAAGTTTTAGCGAAAATATGGTAACCGAAGTAATCCCATTTGACTGGTCTCGATCGCTGATAGTCCCAGCTTATGAGCAACGAGAGTCCTTTGCGACTAGGTCGAATAAGTGTCTAGAATATTAGTTTCAAGAACCACCAGACGACTAACCGGAAATCATGAAGAACAAACTAGGGAAAACCAGGGTTAGTGTGTTCACATAAATCTGCCTTTGCCATGTTTTGGAATGCAGACATATACATCAACTCAGTCATAGCTGCATTTCTAGACTTTAATACGTTGTTCCGTTCAGTAAAGTGTGGACTACCATCGAAATGATAACTTCAGGTGGTGTTTGTTAGTGTCATCTGTCTCACTCACCATAGACATTCTTAGAAATAACATTCTCGTCTAATTTCTCAAAAATCAAAGGCGTTCATAATAGCCATTACACACGAAAATTCCCAGCTTTAGAGAGAAGACCATTCTTAGCCAAATGCAAACTTTTAATTAAACATTTTTACATGAGAACCAAACATACGTATATATAGGGACGAAGTCAGTACTTCTAAATTTCTGAACAAGAAAATGTCAACTATAGATGATAAAGCGGCTGACAAGTTATTTCACGCCTTAGTTTTGATTGTAAGTCCATGCATGTTCTTTATTTCATCTCTCAAGGCCTAAAAGCAATAAACATTTTCGCACAGTTACACACCTTTTTAACAGCTCGATGCTGTTGCAAAACGGACAAGGATGCAAACTCTCCTGCTTCAATAACTATTTCGAACATAGCTCCACAACCACCTGCCATGGAAATTCAGAAAAAAAACCCATGGTTCTTACCACTCACATCAGAAACAGACACAAGCCTAGCGCTCGGGAAGTTTTCTTTCAAAATAGTCTCAATCTTGGTCTCTCTGGCAGTTGCCATGCACCGAATGCATCGAAGCCCAAAACCGAAGAACTTCTGCAGAAATACAAATCATCATTATGTATAAGTGAGCATACAACTAAAGACCAAAAAGTACTAACAAAGTTTATTTCAAATGTTACATCTAGCACTACATTAAGTTGATAAAAATTTATTCTTCTCTCCAACGCATCTTAGAAACATCAAACTTGTAGACATCACTAATTGATCCTGACCGACTGAACACCTTTTTGTATAAAACTGCATCCTTATATTCAGGCAATTCGAGTACGTTTTTCGGAGGTATTACAACTACATTCATGAGTTCTATGATTACAACTTACCAAACGTACGGATGTATATGTAGAATAGGAGGCCGATACTAATGAAAATAAAACCATATGCTAGTCCAAGTTTCCACTGGCCATGTGGAGCGGTTAATTCAGCAAAGGTACGTTGAAAGCTATGACGATATAATGTCTTCACTTCCTCGGTTGTCAACTGACTCCAGTCCCCTTGTTCTTTCTCTCTTAATTTAGCAATCTATTTGAAAGTTAACCCACTAAGATGTTTTACTTCAGGGGTATGGTTGCGAAATCTGATTGAAGGATACGGGTACGCCAAATCATCATAATACATAGGAATCCCATTCCTACCGAAACCCACTATTTCACGGTTACCTATATGTGGGTAAAATTTTTGCTCCAAGGGTGAAAGCACTGCACATGAGTCCTTTGGAGCGACTGCTGCAGCCGTTATCCTCCTACATAACATGAAATACACAGGACACGTCCGTAACACCATTACGATGCGCTCGAAACAAAAACCGAGCGACTCCCAATGTTCAATAGGAATGGTCTAAAATATGAGCCCCGTGTAGATGTCGAATAAATGACACTGTGTGTACTGCCTAAAACGTGAAAAAATAATGATTGTTAGCACCGTTCCACTCCGTGTTTACGCGTTCACGTTTGAGGATTAATTTACTGTCCTCTATATTATTATGGTTGACTAGCAAACTAGGCTTCATGACAAGGACAATTTCTTCTCTCGATGAATTGTAAGGTTTTGAAGCTCCTCAATACGTGATTAGATTTCAGTAACAACTTTGTTGTTCTCTGGGCAAAAAACTGTATTATCAAGAGAACGCAGCATTGTATCACATAATGTTTTGCTTACACTTGTGTTTATTTTCTGCATGCCAACTTAGACGTTTTACCAATCTGTTGCAGATTGTTCTTCATGCCTGGTAACGCCCCTGGGTTCACACTTCACACACGAATGTCAACAACTACAACACAGGTTAACGTCGATTGCATAGATCTACCTCAATGATCAAGCGATAAATAATTCTATATGCTATTCAAGGAGCACCTTAAGATCGCTTGATCACAGTTCAAAACAGTATAAACAACAAAGGGGCTTTCACCACGTTGAATACAATTGCTTTCAACATAGTTTGGACAGCTCCGATGCATTTCACATTAGATAATTGTATGCAGATGGCGGATTGGTTTGGAAAGGACGATTCAAACTCCTTAAAAACAGAGGATAGCTTCACATGCAATCCTTAAACTACGTTGATCATCGTATGGAATAAGCCTCGAGTAGCTAGATCTCTTCACGCCATCTAACAAGACATAAGAAGATCCGAATTCCATGTAGTGGATATTAAGAAATGATTTTAGACCAGCTAACACAAAGACAGCACTATTGTAGGGCCAGTGAAATACCAGCAGACCCTAACCAATTCATTTAGTAGTTAGTCCGCTGAATGTTGCAGATTATCGATCCTTGTTAAGATCATGAGCAACCAAAGGACATCAATCGATCGCACTTAATGTGTAAGCGCATGTTGCAGCAGTTATACTCTGCTTCTTTTAACCAACACTACTAGCACATTACCGTAATTGCGTTATGGTTGATATTTACGCTCATCAAAGTAGCCACAATACCTGGATACAATGGAAGGTAAGTGCTCGTCACACCATTCCTGTCCGACTCGATTGCGTACGTCATCATCGACACGAATAACTCGGACCAGCGATCCACATTCGTATTGACCCAAGTACTCCACTCTCTAGCTGACTTCTTACACTGGCCTCGTCCAGCACGTTTCATCTTCGTTGGAGGATCCAAACTTCGTCCTATGCTAAACCTTCGAATGTCTCAAGTAGACATTGTCGTTTTGAGGACTTTTTTGATGTATAAGGATATCATGTGGTGGAACGCAGTGGTTGTTTCTCTTTACGTCTGCATGGTCTATCTAAACCTTCGAACGATCGAACCTTTATAATTATGCCGCACATTTTCTCACTCACATATGTGTACCTGAAACGTTTGTACGATTGTATATATGGTTCTATATGCTTGTTTGTCTCTTTCATACCCGTAACACCTGATTCACATTTACTTAGATTGAGTTAGCGCTTCTCACACCTTCTCTCAGACCTCTTTCTATTGTTAGCTGTCGCGTTGCCGGATGCATGAAATATACCCTAAAACCGTTGACTTATTATACCCTGTTGTTCACTAATACGAATTACGTTGATGAATAAACAGGACGTTTAAAAAACGTAATTTTGTTGATATAAGTATCATGCCATCGGGATGGATTCAAATCATGACCTATAAAGGTCAGTCATGTGTCTAAGTTGATAGTAATACATTGCCTTAACAGTGCTTGAGGGTTTACAATAAGTAGTCCCCAAGATCATCGTGACCATCTTAATACGTATAATATCTCAGACAAGAACCTTAACTGGATATTCACTACCTAATGGCCCGTTTTACTCATATGACAATGTATGACGGGACCAAACTGATGAGAGTATAGAAATATATTTAGACACAGTCGCAATAAGAGTTGTGGGATTTTTGGAATGTTCACGCATGTCACCCGAATACAGAGTTGCTACACAAAAAGCTATATCTGAATCAAGTCAGTGCATTTTGGGACGCGCACTGAAAATCATATTCCTCTAATCAGTTTTCGTATGTTTATCTACTCCGGTATGCCATGAAATATTTATTAGTGGGCTAACTTCTGTCGATTTGAGTTTCGGACATTAAATCTTAGCAACTGTTTTCTCAGGATCGTCCTTCACCGTAGAAAGAAGATTTTCTTGGTACACTAGAGTTATAAGACTACTATCCGACAAGTTTTAATAAGAAACATCAGTAGTTTATGGTGTGATATGTATAACAGCAATTCCATGGGTTAATCATTGTATACCATTGTTTTCACGTAAGAACCAACACAGTCAGGGACTATACAGTAGCCACCCTTGAATGAACTATATTTCTAACTCAGCATTTTTAACAAGCAGAAAAGAACATGCAAATTTCTGACGGTCTGCACGCGCGCACCATTCACTCTAAGTTACTTATGGTGTGCGAAATTTCGCACAAAAATTATTTCTAAGATTACTCTGTTGTTTTGGTCCATTTTGTCTTAAATCTAAAGTTGGGGGAAAGGAATGAACTTACATCTCATTGTGCTCCTGTGTTATTCTTTGTATTTTGAAACGGTTATTGATTTTCCATAGGCTAAACGAAGCGAAAATGAAGAGGAAAGGTTTCTCTCAATTTCACCTCTTTTATCGTGGTTATTCATACGATGTTTGCAATGATGAGATAAAGACGACCTCTGACCCGAAGATCACTGATTGGTTGATAAAGGAAGTTGAGTTGAACGTTGTTATTAAGTGAACGCTCATTATTCTACCATCATCTCATTGTGAATCCACCCAAGTTTAAAATTGCTCAAAAACCGTTTACTCCCGAAGTAAGACTATGTATATAAGCTTCTAAACAGAAGTCCATGCGGAGGATATTTGGTAGGCAATTACAGAATGTGTAGTCTTACGCAGAACAACATTCGTGAGCTTTACACACTCCCTGACCTATGATGTAGTATATGTTCTGGATCTTAGTCAATTAATAGGGATCAACGAATTTGATATAATAAAAACACATTATGTTGATTGACTATCAGATTCAGACACTGTGATGCCAAAGAAAAGAACATCAAGTTAACAAGTGGTATAAATACTGGGTGCAATAGGGCCCCTTTATTCTCAAATTTCACATTGATTTTCTTTTTCTTACAGGAAAGCGGTGGATATAACTCCAGTTCGACCGATTGATCATGGCAAAGAAATATGCATATCATCAACGGTTATCAAGTCGTCGACTTATTACACATTAGTTAGCTGAATTAAGTCAATGAATACGGGATACGTATATTTCATACACTCATTTATCCAGACAGTCAATAGTAGTAGCAACTTTGATAAATAAACCGTAGAAAACAAGTGTGCGAACTCAGTTAAATAACTTGCGACCCAGTATTTATAGTCAGACAAAAATAACCCAAAAATGCGGTGAATGTGGTGAGTAATCCATACGTACGCTCATATTAAAACAATCAAGGTTTATAAGCGATTGATGAACACGGTTAAAATGTTGCTCAAGAAGCATGAATAAATTAGTTCATCCGGGAGCTAGAATAACTCATGTGGGTTTAATATAGAACTAGACATTACAAGGCCTCTCTGTTCGAAACGACATATCGATTTTTAAAAATACGTCTGCTTCCGAAAATGATACTGAAGGGGTATATGGTTAACATTAACATGTGGCAAGAAAATTTTCTGTTTCTGATAGGGCGCAGTGATATATGAAGAGTGAATGTGTGACGAGAATGTCTCATACATATTTAAACGAATACATGAGTATCGTATAGGCACAGAAACAAAAATTTTCCAAACGACATAGTAACGCAGGCGAACGTCTATCTGGTATGTGTACTTCATATTGACGAACTGGATTCAAGTGAGAAGATTAATGCAGGTTTAAAGGACATCTATTTAATAAAGAGGGATAGTGCTATCAAAAATTGCCATAGTCACAAAGATATCAATGAGAAGAAGCTATTTCGTCTCTTGATTTTTGAAACGAGAGACCAATCAACGTTTATGGACAAGATTTTGTAAAATGTTCATCACAAATTTGTTCAAAATTAAAACAAAACAAAGGTTTTGCAAAGAGCTGAAGTCGGATAGTAAATGTTTGCTGAGAAAACCGTTACGGCGGGTAGTGCCCTCCGTCCCTCTCTAAATGCTCTTACGCGACCACGTGTATACGACCTCTGTCAGGGAGCTTCTACTCTGCCTTCTCGTGGCAGGACGTTACTCAAGAAAGTAGGAAAACGAAAAGCGAATGTCCGGCGCTTAAACAGGGTCTTAAAGCAATGTCGCACATTTGCTCCGGCACTCTAAGGGAACGGATGGCGTATCAACCAATACTGGTAACCGGCTACCATGCGACTGCATCTCCTCACGATGCCCCACTGCATTGTGGGCCAGACATTTCGATAGAAGGCTCATTGTGTGGCCCCCTAAGAAAACCACCTGCAGCAGCATCGCAGTCATGCTGGTTGTCCAAGGGAAACACCTTACTGCTGTCACACCCCTCTACAGTCAGCAGTAAGACTTCGCCCTCAGACCTTGAGTTCCTGCTTTTAGACTTACCGTTCGCCAATCGACCTGCCTGGCATGGTAGAACCTGCAGGAACATATGTTCCAGCCAATATAGCTCGGTTGGGTCATTACGATAGGCAAGCCCGACCACCGCGTCAAGGTAGCAGCTTCGGTCGGGCCACGTTCATCTTGATTTGGTAGGGCCCTTACCAGATCCAAATGGATACTCTTAACGTGTGTAGACCAATTCACATAATGGTCAGTAGCAGTACCCATCATGGACATTACTTCCGAAACAGTAGCCCGGGCCTTCGTCAAACG